ATTTTGAAGAATTAACTTCACACACTGAAGATGTGTAGGAGGAGGAGAAATAACTGTTGTGTGGAAGTAACTGCCTCTGCCTAACGAGATAATTTTTCAATCAGATATGCTCCTCAAGTCTGTTGGGTGCCTCTTGCCATTACATCCATTTGTAGTTTTACCTTTCAAGAGTGAAGATTTTTCTACTTCTGCTGTAATGAAACAGAGCCTTTATTGCTGTTGTGTGCAAAGAGGGTGATCCACAGAGGCATGTTGACTGCTGACACTAGAAGCTTGCTTTTTCTTGCAGCGTTCTCCTGCTCTTCTTTCATAAACCTGCTTCATTTTTATGCCCAGCAACTCAGAACAATATATTACCTTGTCTGCCTCTTTCATTTCCTTTCAGCTTTTCTTCCTTCAGTTCTTCATCACTCTCCTCCAGAATTTGAGCTTTATCAGTGCCATAATCTCATGCCTTACAAAATAAACCATATACTTTTATGATGGTGCACAGTGGTCTCTGCCCTATTTTTCAAGCACCACTGTTTCTTATATTCTGAAAGTCACAGGCACTTTATAAATGAAAGAGATGAGAAAAATATATAAACGGAAGTGAAAAATTAACAAATCTATGTATTTATTCAAGACACTACTAATATGTGATTTGAGGACCAGACTTAATTTCATAGTCAATTTTTACTTCTCTTCAGGGTTTTCCATATAACTAAAGGATGGAACATGTGAAATAGCTACCAAATGATTAGACTGCTACTAACAAGACCTTCACATAAACATAAGCAAAAAATAAAAGAAACATTTAAAGAGACTTCTCCTGAGCTTTGACAGTTCCTTGCATGCTAATGACTAATTAGCCAAATTTAGTTTAACAATTTCTAGAATATACTAATTTTAAAAAAGAATGCCTATTAATTTTATATCAGATCATGAATGTGCTGTGTGTCTGTGATCTTCATTGCTGTACACTCCACTTCGGAAACACAGCTGATTCTTCTAGTCTTCCTTTCTTAGAATCACAGAATGGTTTGGGTTTGAAGAGACCTTAAAGATCATCTAGTTCCAACACCCTGCCTTGGACAGAGATATCTTCCACTAGACCAGACTGCTCAAAGTCCCATCCAGTCTGGCCTTGAGCACCGCCAGGGATGGCACAGTCACTGGGCAATCTGTTCCAGTCTCTCACCAGCACCACAGTAAAGTATTTCTTCCTAATATCTAATCTAACTCTACCATCCTTCAGCTTAAAGTCATTCCCCCTTGTCCTATCACTACATGTCCTTGTAAATAGTCCCTCACCAGATTTCTTGTGGGGCCCCTTTAGATACTGGAAGGCTGCTGTAGTCTCTCCTGAGCTTTTCCTTCTCCAGGGTGAATAATCCTCTCTCAGCCTGTCTTCATAGGAGAGGTGATCCAGCCCAGGATGTGCTGCTACTCAAGGGAGTAAAGACCCACTCTAATGATGAAGAATCATTAAGTCTGATGATCCTGTCCAGCGAAAAGGATGTTGTAAGCTTAGATTGTCCTCCAGCTGGGGTTATTGTTTTAAAGGCACAAGATCACCCAGTGTTGCTTTAAGAGTATAGAAATCTGACAGAAAATCAACCCCTTTGCATTCCAGCTAGTCCTCAGAAATCAGAGCGACTGGGGGCAGTCAGGCTTAGTTTCTGATTGTAACCAATTCAACACTGTAAATCTGATCATGATTATGGATGCACAAATAGTGCGGTTCATTGAAGCAAAAGAAATACAGGTTCAGACTTGCTGCTAATAATCCACTTACTGCATTAGAACTAAAATGCAAAAGCTAACTAACAATTAATTGAACTCATATAGGAAAATCAAATAAACCATATGGTAATTCATTAAAATTAGTTTCACCTGGGTATCATTGGGCATAGTCAGAGGCAAAAATCTTACCAAAAAGGCAACCCTACTTTGGGGAGGAGTGAGGAGCAAGCCCATCGACTTGTCTGCAACATGGAGTCAAATTTTCATCCCTTCTTGTGGAGGAGTTAGAATGCCCCATTTATATATTTAGAGAATGTTTAAATGTGAAACTGTAGTCAAATTACTGACTGCTGTCACAGGCAGTGTAGGGAGACCCACTTTATCAATGTGGTATATTTTAATGTGTAAATGAGAGATAAGGAGAGTCTTGACTAGGCACTGACCAGGCACTTCATCCTTGGGACTCAAGGGCAGAACAAAACCTTGACACAGTAGCAGTTAACATCATTCCCTCTTCCACCCTGCTGACTCAGGCTGTCTGACTGCAACACCCTTATCGGGGTCTTGCAACTCATTACTCCCTTCAGCACATCTCTCAAGGCCTCAGACCTCATTCCCACAGCTGTGATTTCAGAAACTGCTACAGCTAAGGCCTCATCCCCACACCCAGCAACCAACTCACCTGGCAAACAGGGATGTTGATCGAGTCACCCCAGCACACTGAGATGCACACTACAGACACGAGGTAAAATCAGGGCAGCCTGCACATCTCAGGTGTCTCTCCACAACACATTTGAGAAGGAACATAAGTCAGAACAGGGAAATCTGCTGAAAGCTTACTGGCTGATTTACAAGTGATCCATATTTAACTGTTCCCCATCTTGTAAGTAAAAGGTAATTGTCTTTGTAAAGCTCTGTAAAGCATATTTTAGTGATGAGATCTATTCCTGTGGCATGCCTTTGGAAATACAAGTGGAAATCATGAGACTTACATTGATGGTGGAATGAAAAGATGGGAGAAAATGCTATGTGAGATAGCACTACTGTCAAACAAAAGGACCTAGTGTTGTCCTGTACTAATTCAGCATTTGAAATGCTTGCTAAAAGGTCTGAACAAGACAAGATATGATATGAGAATGCTCTGTAGCTCTAACAAGGTAGAAGCATGCTGTATTTGACTCAAGTTTCTTACAAGGAAAAATCAAACAGGTCACTTACACCGACATAGTCCTATTCCAGTATTTCTACTTGGAGGCCTGTATTCCTATTGTATTGCTCAGGGAGCTGGCCAAGCTAGAACTGGCATTTTGTTTTTCTCTTTTATGGGCCTCATACATGTTTACTGGGGCTTCGATCTCTTAGTCTCCTGTCTTGACAAGACAGTGGATGTGGTCTCCTTTTCTTCATAGTACTTCCCAGATCATTAGAACTCTAGGGACTGAAGGAAACTGGAAATGTTCCAGTAAATTAAATTCTCTTCTTTGCCAAGGACTAAACAACTGTTTTTAAGAATCACTGAAACGTCATAAATACAAATAAATCAATCTTTCTCTGAAGTCTTATGTCAAAGGATAATGTCATGCTGTCGAAACAACAGCAGATTTAAAAAAATAAACTCTTGTAGAAATAAGAATCTGATGGAACAGTGTATGAAGGAAGAAAATCTGTGTGTTCTGCTCATGTTGTGGCTAGTAGCTATCCTGAGAGTCACACAGAGGGACACAGGCAATTTACTCACATTGAAAAGAACAATCTTATAATGGGCAGATTATCTAAACAAGTAATTTTCCAGGGTTTAATAGCACTATTCTCAAGCACAAATAACAAAGAAGACAAAAAATACTGAGTAGGATGCTTCTATTAAGGTATGGGCAGGCATTCCTTTGCAATGATATTCTTGAACAGAAAGGATAGTTATCAGATTTCTGCTGCATTTCCTTTCAGTATTAACCCTTCTTCTATCTCCAGATTCTCACACCACACTTGAAACTAACTGCTGCCATAGAAAGTCAACAATCTCAGCGTATCTTGATTTTTTCACCTCTAACAGGTATAAATTTAAAACTTCATTAAAAACATCAAATCATGTTAACAAACATTGGTAGCTGTCATTTTGCATTAAATGCGTAGCTATGTGAATTTACATGTATGCTGAATATGAGTATGAATTTTCCTTCTTTGTTTACATTTCATATTCTTTCCCTTTTTCTTCTATCATAGATTGCAAAAAGTGAAATCCTGGCCCTATTAAAAATTTTGGCAGAACTCCGAAGTCTGAAACTGAGCCAGGATTTTACTCAGTAAATCTGGCTGACTACTGTCTGCATTTTAATAGCATTGTATCATATCTTTTTTTCTGTTTTGTTTTCATGCTATATACCTCTAAAAAGTCTTATATTTTAATTAGTTAGCATGCAACTGTGAGTACATGTTTATAGAAAAAAAATGAGTATTATTTTTCCAAGCTTAAGGTAAAATACGAGCTGCAGTCCTTTGTGCTCTTCTGATAGATATTTAAAAGCATTTGAAACCTCCTTTGATTTTTCACAGTAATTTGATATGTCTATTACTTTCAGCATATTTCATACGAAATGTCTTCAGCATTTTCCAGCTAAATTCTGTGCCTTACTTTCATTTATGAGGATGGTTCTTTTGTTAGGTCTTTTCAATTTCTTCACAATCCCAAGACATGCTTTGATCACTTTGGAGTTAGTGACAGGGTACTCAAACTCTACTCATGTAGAACAGGCATAGCAATAACTAAAGCTGAAGAAAAGTCAGCACAAAAGCACTGGTAGTGCTATTCTGTTCAAGAGCATGTATACACCACATAAAAAGCAGAGCAGCAGCAGGATCAGTGAAACAAATAGGCAGAATTTAAAACTCTAACCAAATTTTAAAAGAGAAAGATGTCATTGGATCAAAGAACAGGTAATTCAGATTAGCCTCTTTTAATCAAAGACATGGGCCTTCTTCTAGCCTATTTTTTCTCTTTTTTTTTAACTAAAGATGGTGAAATAAACATGTTTTAGTCCATCTACGAATGTATTCTCAGAACTAGTTAATTTTGGCTTATGTTTTATGCCGAACTGAGAACTCAAAGCATCTTCCATTAGAGCTGTGTGACCAATCATCACCATCCTCCCAAGGAGAGAGACAAGAGTCAGTTCATGGCTTTTAGTTGGGCTTTTATTGGTATTTGAGAGATGAGAAAAGGGTAAGAGAGTTTACACTTCATCAATTTGTTCAAGGACTCTTTCACACATTAACAGATATCTGTATATGCACACATATGTATTTGAAAATTATAGTTACGAATAACCCAAACAAACCAACCAACTTATTTTGTAACATGGCCTGGAAAGTGACAAGATTTTCATGATCCCTGGATCTCTGGCATATTCATTTCACAGTGATAAGACAGCTGACAAGTATGTTTGGATGAGCTTCATCTTTCTTGCATGCCATAGTACTCTGAAGCCTGAAGTATTAGCTCTTAGCCATGATTTTCACCATAGTGTTTCATGTAGTCTTTTGGGTGTCCTGTAGTCAGACAATGGAGGCAACTAGAAGAAAAAGACTGGGTCTTTGAACTGGGCTGGGAATTAATCCTACAGGAAAACAGTGCAGACATTAAACAATTGTTCCTTGTATGCTGTTGTTGAGGAAACATTGCGTGCTGCTCTCTACTAGCTGGAGTTCTAAGCACTAATCATACCTAAACACACTAACATGCTGTGGTTCAATTGAAAGACAGTGAGGTTTTCAGTATGATGAGACTGTGCCATCATTTACCAAGTAGAATTGTGCAACTAAGCAATTAATAGAAGCGGATGGAGAATAAGAGATAGAGTTTCCCATCCTTACTCAATGGGATCTTTCCTCCAGGAAGGGCTTGATCTGTTTTAGTAAATTGCACTGGACCCTGCCATCTACATAAAGCTACAGATTTTTGTGGTTTAGTTCTCTTGAATTCGAGACCCACCTTCACTAGAACAGCATACTCCTTGACTCATTGCTTTAATGAGCTCAAACTTTCCTTCCCAATAGTCAGGTATTTTATTCTATAGGTTTCTAAGAAAGTGAAGAACTAGAAGAACTGCATGTTGTGAAATCTATCTCCTATGGATATATTCTACAAAAAAATTATCGGTACAACATCCAACTTTAGAATGTTCTTTTAAGGAAAAGGTTTATAGTCAGAACCAACCATAACACCTTGACACTGAAGTTTAGTGGAAGAATCTGATTCATCCCATGCTGCCAGGCACTATTTAACATATGAACAAAACTTTGCCATTCCTGACTATCTGAACTCCATTTTCCTTTTTCTGTACTTAGACCAGAAAAAGAAATTCCATGAGGTATTTGTTACAGGATTTTTTCATCCTACCTCATTTGGTGTGCTCCTGTAGCTGCTCTGTGGCATGTCTTCACATAAAATGATCTGATTTCATTCATAAGGGGACTGATTTTTTTTTATTAATAACTTTAGAGAAAAAGATATTTAACTGTCTGCTAAACTTTCCTATTTGTTATAAATCCATTCTGTTTAAAACACATTTGTTGTTTTTAAGGGTATATGTATGTGTGTATATATGCACATATTTATGTGCATTTCCTTGTTTGTCTGATGAATTACCAGCTTTACTGAGTGCATATTAAGACTAGAATAACATTTGAATGGAGGATAGATAATTTTGTCTTTATGCTGAATGTTTTTGCAAGTGGTAAATGTTGCTTCTCTTCCAATTTGTGATGGTATTCTCTTCAAACCTCCCTGCCCACTGAGGTTCAGAGGGGAATTAACAAGTTCACATTCTCTTCTTCTGTTCCTTTCTCATCCAAAATAATGTTTGTACAAAAAAAAATTTACAAGGATTTTCATTTTTATAATAGTCTTTCCTTTTTTTAAAACAGCTGTCTGTCTTTCCTCCATGTTAATTGAACTACCATTTAGAAGACTTATAATGGGCAAGAATAAAATCTATTTTTCTGACTTTTGGGGTCTGCACTGGATCCATTCCTCATTAAGTCAATGGTAGCACAGTGAGACAAGGCAACTTTTTGGTTAAATTTTAGTGTCTGCTTTGAACAATTGTTCCAAGATGTGAATTATTTCAAGTATATCAAATAAAATTTGCAACTTGATGAATACCTTTTGTTTTCAAGACACAACACACGTTGATATTCAGGAGTGAATCATGGTGAAGGCTGTCAAACAGACAACCAAAATCCCTTCTGAAAATCACAAGGAATAACTTAGGGGAGGCTGACAAAAGTTCTCTTAACTGAGAAGCCTGACAGTGTAAATCTGCTTGACAACGCCTAGAGTGGAAACCAGTCTGGTCTCTCTCATGCTTCCCTTTACCACTTCCTCATGTAATTCCAGAATGGTCTAAAATGTTCTGCAGTAAAATAGTTTAAATTATTTGCATCATTTTTCTTTAATGTTACAGCAGTAAAGTTTTTCCCTATTTTTCCAAACACTTCTCATTGAACCGGAGAAAATTTGGCTGGGAGGAACCTTGATGCTATACCTAACTAGTTCTAGGCAGAAACATTTTTTTTTCATAACCTTCTTCAATGTTTGTGTGATCCCACGTTCTTTTTAATCCATTTATTCCCATGCTTACCTACATTTAAGTTTTTGCTAGTCCCCAAATGACACCTCATCTGATGAAATCTAAGTTAATTACATCTCAGTTTTTCCACAGTGGTCATATAGATTACATTGTTCTACTCTTCACAGCAGCAGCCTTCTGCATATTGGAAGATTGTTAAGTCTCCCTTCCAGTCTTCACACCTTTAAACTAAATAAACCCAGCTCTCTAAATATCCTCTTTCCTGGACCTTAAGTCCCTTAATTTCCATGAATTTTCTCCCACTTGTTCAGTTCCCCTGATTTATGGTACTTGAAGGATGTCATAGACAACATCAACAAAAGATCATGTTATTAGAGCAGGATACGTTTTTGTTAATTGATTAAAAAAAGGGGGGGGGGGGATAAAGAACTTATGAAATTGATGCTACAATCCATAAATTTGAAAGATTAATATTTGGAGATGAGGTAAGTGGTAAGAAGAAGTAAGAAGTTTGTTAATTTAGTACTTTGTTGTCTTCACTACTTTTTCAATAGTCTATAATGTATTAATCTTTAGAAGTGTTCACTGTTTCATTTTAGGTAGATCTTTAAGTAGCATTTAGCTGCCCACTAATAGACTATTATGATTTATAATGGTCATTTATGGTTTGGGGTTGCATGATGATGATTATTATTACTATTGTTATTATTATCATTATTACTATTATTTTCCCTTTCTCACACAGATTTTTTGCAATTTGGGGGGGCTTCTAGTCTCAAAGTACAGGAAACCTTCTGTTATGTTTCAGCTAGCTACAGAGGGAGATGCCCTGTCTGACCTCTTCCTCCTTTCAAAGGAGGAACCTTAAATGGAAACCTCTGATCTTCAGTCATCCCAACTTTTATAAAAGGTGCTTAGTTTCCAAGAATCAGCACAATGTAGTAGCCTTCAACCTGCTAAGGCTTATTCATGATGCAAGTATGCTGAGAGCCACTATAATAGGCCCCATGATCAGAAAATGAGGTGGGAAAAGGGGATAGCATCATCACATAACCTCTACCAATAATGTTTCCTGGACTGTACAACTCCTTCTCTGAAGGAGGATGAGATTTGAACAATCAAATCTAAAGTCAGTGCTACATAAACACTTTCCCTTTTTACTAGGATTTCTTTTTTTAAGAGAGAGTCTTGAAGTGTTCTGGTTTTTGTCTTAGGTTTTCTCTTCAACCTCCCATGTGTTCAGAGGATTTTGTAGACAAATATAAAAGTGACCCAAAATCTACAGACCTGGATCTCAATCTGACAGCTGTGAGATCACAGAATCATGGAATCAGAGAATCTTGAGTTTCAAGGGACCTATAAGGATCATCAAGTCCAGTTCCATGATCCTCACAGAGCTACCTAAAACCAAAGCATATGATGAATAGCATCATACAGATGCTCCTTGGAAGGTGCTCTGATGGGGTTGGTGCCATGACTGCTTCCCTGAAGAGGCTGTTCAAGTGTCTCAGTGAAAAAGCTGTTCCTAAGGTCCAATCTAAAATTCCCCTGATGCAGCTTCGTTCCATTTCCTTGTGTCCTATAGCTGTTCATTAGAGAGAGAAGATTAGCACCTCTCCTCTGCAGCCCCCCTTGAGGAAGTTGTAGTCTGCAACGAGGTGACCTCTCAGCCTTCTCCGTGCTAAACAAACCAAGTGACTGCAGTGTCCTGTCCTTCTTGGCAGTTGCGTGGAAGGTGATCAGGTTAATTTCTGACTGTGTAACAAAGTGGTATCCTGTAGACTTGTTATGTCTATTGAGCTTACAGATAGTGCCTGGACATCCTGAATGTTAGAGTTCCTGTGATTTCACTAGTAATGACCTCTGGCTGTTGTGCAAGCACTTTCCAGGCCTTTGGACTCTTCCTGAGAAAATGGAGTATGGGCCGAATCTAATCTTGAATGCTTTTCACTGCATTTTTACAAAGTTATTGAAATTATTGGTTTTCTTTATAGGTTTCTTTATCATATTAACATTAGACATACATATCCAAAATGGATCCAAAAGTGGAATTTGAGTAGCAGTACTGACACCTTGTTTTTCCACATAAACCCAGTTTGTCAGACCTGGCCATATTATTGAGATTGTTCCTCAGAATTTCTCCTATTTTGGTGGTTGATCCACAAAATGAACTCTTTAAGATTCAATAGCGATGCAAGACTCTACAATTATTTTACTTTTAAATTAGGCAGAAAAAAACTCCTGTGAATTGAGCCAATTATTTCTTACTTATCCATATATGAGAGTAGTTCTGTATTCCAGGGTTGTGAACGTTATTTTTCTGCAACATACAAACTTGTTGACTACACTGATTTTGGGTTTGCAAATTTGAAGTTTTTAGATTCCTAAAAGACATGTTGATATAAAAGTTGCATTGGTTTGAACAGGTGGTAGAGGAACAAGATGTCAGTCATAGTAATGGCATATCTTTATGCTACTGGGGTGAAAAGGCACTATACCATGCCAGACATTCATGTGTTAGTTTGACGTGTGCAAGAATGAGGTGATGAGGATGTTTCTGTAGTGAGTGCTCTTATGACACTATTAAAGATTTGGCTGTTCAGCCTGGAGAAGAGAAGGCTTCCAGTATCTGAAGGGGGACTATAGGGATGCTGGGGAGGGACTCTTCATTAGGGACTGTAATGATAGGACAAGGGGTAACAGGTTAAAACTTAAACAAGAGAAGTTCAGGTTAGATATAAGGAAGAAGTTCTTTACTGTTAGGGTGGTGAGGCACTGGAATGGTTTGCCCAAGGAAGTTGTGAATGCTCCATCCCTGGCAGTGCTCAAGACCAGGTTGGACAGAGCCTTGGGTGACATGGTTTAGTGTGAGGTGTCCCTGCCCATGGCAGGGGGGTTGGAACTTGATGATCTTAAGGTCCTTTCCAACCCTAACTATTCTATGATTCTATGATGCTGTCTTGTGCAAACTTTTTAGGAAATACTTGTAAGATAAAGCTTCAACCTGATGCTGCTGGGAAGAGATTGGATACTGCTGTTAACTCATAAAGTATCCTACTAACTACACAGTAGATTACAAATTTCATTTAAATGAAGGTAAGTGTAGGAGATGGAAGTATCTTTGAGGATTTTGGTTTTAAAGCTACCTCCAAAGATATGATCTCATCTATAATTTAGAATCATAGAATCATTTAGGTTGGAAAAGACCCATAAACCTAACACTATCAAGTTCACTAGTAAACCATGTCCCTAAGTGCCATATTGTACATAGGACATACGTCTTTTACATACCTCCTGGGATGGAGACTCAACCAATTCCCTTGATAGCCAGTTCCAATAATTGACAACCTTTGCTCATAATTCATATTGCAAATTTCTAGACTAATAGCCTCTGGAGGATACACCAAATTCATTTTTATGAGTACAGGATTCCTCCTGCAGAATATGGACTCTTCACCTCTAAGGGAGTAATCTAGTCAACTACTTTTAAAGCAGGAGGATGTATGTCCACAGAAAATACTTTCTTAGTCAAGGTTATATCTGGTACACATACGCATACTCATACCATTCACCACAATTCCTAATTTTGTAGATCTTAAAGCAAGACCAGCCACAGGTTATTTTCATATTTCCAACAAAGGTACATTGCGTAAGGTCTAGGGGACCTTAGTGGTCACACTGGTTTTGACAGTCCAAAGAATTACTGGTAGAAGTAGTCTAGGAGGACACTGTAGCTGAGGCTGAATTCCATCTGAAACTTCATCACAAATATTTTGGACTAAATTTTCAAAGCAGCTGGAACAATCTGTAAACTGTACAAGAGCTAATTTGGCAGCAATTCAGACCGCTGTAGTCTAGATTACTAGTCTCTGATCTTAGGACATCTGTTTTTCTTCTTCAATCAAATAATTCTTAGGGACTTCTAAAAATTATTTTAAGTATTTTCACTCATAAGCCAGATTGCCATAACAGTGCAGACAAAATCTGATATTATTTTTATTAATGGAAACACCCTTTCAACCAACCATTAACAAATTGCTCATTACATCATCTATCAGTGAGTATTTAATTTCTAGATTAATTCATCAAAGAATAAATCAGAAACAAGCATTTATGGCAAATCCTCCTTTTGTTTCCATTGTAAAGACAGTAAAAAAGCGAGACCTGCCTTACATTTATCTCACTACCAGTAGCATAGTTTATTGTTAGTCAGAATTAACTGCTACTGATGTAAAAACTTACTTCAGGAATGAGACATTGTGCTGTATACCTCAGATATCAAAAGAGCAAAAATAATAACCTCCACAGAATGCAATCCATTCACAAATCACCTGGCACACTTAGTTGCATAAGATTCAAAGGAAAATCATTTTTGCCTCAGATTTTCAAAATGGACTGGTGTAAATGGCAACACATAATATTAATTGGGTGACTCATTCAGATATTCTTGGAGTTTATTCGCTACATATGAAAATTAGATTGACACATGCTTCAGCAGAATCTCCTTAACTGAAATACAGAGAAGAACCACACTGAGTCCATTCATGTATTTCCTGTGAATCCTGAAGGATGGCATCAGATGAGACCCTCAAACTTGTTCAAAAAATTCCATGTGGAATAATCTATTTGCCGCTCACCAAGTTTACGGTTCAGGCGTAAGAATAAAAAGCTACATGTACACTAAAAGTGAATTCTTATAGAGGTTTTTTTGTTTGTGGATCTCATAACCTGACAACTTTCTCCACATTTTGGAGTTTTATAATCTGGATTACAAGTAGAAATAGATGCAAGCTAAAAAGCTTTTGGTTGCTCTTATCTGTACACCAAGAGAATTCATGCATGAGACTGGCAAGATACAGAATAAGCACAAGGGCATTTTCATATTCCTTTGCCACAGCCTGAAGGAGAATATGACTGCTAACTACCTTAAAAATCTGCAGTCACTATAAAAGCAATTTGCTTTTGTATTCATACTTGACTCCATTTAAATGTTGCCTAAGAGGCAATTAAAGTAGCTCTTTAAGAAATTCAGGTCTTGTGGTGGTGGTTTTATTAATATATGCTGCTTCATGCATCTCAGAAAACTGAAATCCAACTTGCCTGCTTTGCTTCCTCAGGTTCTAGTTACACCTCATCACCATAAAGCAGCACCATAAAAGGCATGTAAAAGCAAAGGGAAATAAAAAAAAAAACAACTTGCATGAAATTCCTTTTGTCATAAAGCCTTTGTAGTAGATAAAGTTTTGAGAAATCCATTGCTTCTTTTTGTTGTTTTCTTTTCCTGTCTGTGCATTCCTTGGGCTCCTTAAGGGCAGTGGAGATCCTTTGCATGCTCTCTGCTGGGGGTAGACTTTTATCCACAGAATCTTCTTCAAGCAGTAGCATCAGGGATATTTGGTGTTCTGTAATTTCTTGGAAATCACCCAAGTACAGCCATGAGATTGTGATTTCCATACTGTTACAGCTGTGTGAGGTGAACAAAAAACACTGTGGTTTTCAAAGTTACAGCTGTGACAACTTAGGACAATATTGGTTTCATACACAAGGAATATGATTCTCTCAGGTTTTCTTTGTAACAAAT